CTTCTCGGATCAGGACTCCACTTACCACTATTTCGGATACTGCCAAATGTAGGTACAATTGTTCGTCTGCTTTCGGAGTGTGAAGCAAAGGAGAGCTCGAGAGGTACCGTATGAGTTCCTCCAAGGCTTGTTGGCACTCCGGAGTCCATGAGAAGTTATTCTTCTTTTTCAACAGTAAGAAGAACCGATGAAGCTTGTCGTAGGATCTCGAGATGAATCGACCCAAAGTGGCTATGCGTCCGATTAACCTTTGTACGGCCTTGACGTTATCCATTACAGTAATATCTTTTATGGCATTGATTTTATTAGGGTTGATCTCGATCCCCCGGTTGGATACCATGAATTCGAGAAATTTCCCGGACCCAACTCCGAACGCGCATTTCTCCGAGTTCAGCTTCATATTGTACTTCTTCAATATGTTGAAGGTTTCCTATAAATGTTTTAAATGGTCCTCTTCTCGCGGGGACTTAACTAACACATCGTCAATGTAAACCTCCATTGATTTTCCTAGTTGTTCTTCGAACATCCGATTTACTAGGCGTTGGCAAATGGCACCGACATTTTTAGTCTCAATGGCCTTATGTTATAGCAGTAGGTACCGTGCTTAGTGATGAAGGCCATTTTTTTTCTGATCGCCCGGGTGCATCCGAATTTGGTTGTAACCAGAATAGGCGTCGAGAAAACTGAGGATCTCGTGGTCGGTCGTCACATCAATCATGCAATTTATTTTGGGCAAAGGGAAAGTGTCCTTTGTGCAATACCTTATTCAAATCTTTATAGTCCACACACATTCTTAATTTATTCCCTTTTTAGGGACTACCACTACGTTTGCTAACCAATCCGTGTATTTAACCTCCCGAATCGACCCTATTTTAAAGAGTTTAGAAACCTCGTCTTTGATGAATGCATGCTTGACTTCGGACTGAGGTCTCTTTTTTTGTTTTCGGGTCCAGGCTCAACTTGTGAGTGGTTATTTCCGAGGGATCCCTGTCATATCGAGGTGGGACCAAGCAAAACAATCTATGTTAGCTATAAGAAATTGAATGAGTTTTCTCTTGAGCTCGGGAATCAACCTCGTGCCCAGGTATACCTTTCGATCAGACAAATGCTCGATCAATATGACCTGTTCCAGCTCCTCGACCGTTGATTTAGTTGCGTCGGAGTCATCGGGGGATATAAAAGACCTGGGAACCCCGTAGTTATCTTCTTCATCGGTCCCCTACTTTTCCGATTGGGTCGGGGCCGATATTGGTAATTGCTATTTGGCTTCTTCCTTAGTGACCGAACCTAGGCCCTTTTGTCATTGTAAGTGCGGATATTGGGGTCGCCTCTTCGATCGCAAACATTTCCTTTGTGGGTAGTTGTTCTCCGTAGATTGTTTTAATCCCTTCTGTCATTGGGAATTTTAACACTAGGTGCAGAGTCAAGGGTACTGCCCTCATGTTCTGGATCCATGGCCTCCCGAATAGAGCGTTGTACCTCATATCTCCTTTGATTACATAGAACTCGGCTTTCTAGATTGTCCCGACGGCGTTCACCGGTGTTATATCCCCTTTGGTGGTTTCACATGCCATGTTGAATCCGTTTAGAACTCGGACTGCAGGCACGATTTGATCTTGTAGACCAAGCTGTTCCACGACCCTCGATCTGATGATGTTGGCCGAGCTAACTAGATTAAATAACATACGCTTAACTCGAAATTTATTTATGAGTACAGATATTACCAGTGCATCGTTGTGGGGCTGCACGATCCCTTCTGTGTTTTCTTCGTTGAAAGACAAGGTTCCTTCTGGCACATAATCCCGATTTTGTTTTTCCCTTGTGATGGATACTTTGGTGCGTTTTAATATCGGCCCCTAGGGAATGTCAACCCCACCGATGATCGTGTTAATGGAGTGCTGAGATTCTTTCTGCTCGATCTATCTATTAGCATATCTATTCCTAAAATGATTATTGGCTCGATCGCTCAGGAACTCTCGGAGATGTCCGTTGTTGAATAGCCGAGCTACCTCCTCTCTTAATTGTCCGCAATCCTCTGTTATGTGGCTGTAATACCATGGTATTTGCACATTAGATTAGGATCCCTTTAGGTTGGATCACACTGTAGAGGTCAAGGCCATTTGGTGTCTTTGATACGTCCGATGGCAGATACGATGGCACCAGCGTCGACGTTAAAGTTGTAATCCGATAATCTTAGCGCTTCCTTAAGCCCGATGGGCCTGTCAAAACTGTTTTTGCTCATGAGTCCCCGGTTGTTTTGACCTCGATCACTCCTCCTATCACTTCTCATAGGGTTTTTTCCAGACCCGTTACCTCTTCGGTCCCCATTGTACGGTTGATAATGTTCCCTGCTTAATCTTGGTTCATGATTTGCAAGCGTAGCAAACGATTCAATAGAATTAGGAGGTAGGTTATGATACCATATCATAGCTCCCTAGGACAGAGTTTTCCCAAACTTTTTCAGCAGGACAGACTCGATCTCATCATCCTCCCAGTCGTTTCCTTTTATGGCGCATGTGTAGGAGGTCACATGCTTATTTAGGTCGATCGTTTGTATTTAGGAAACTCGGGCATGCGAAACTTCTTAGGGATCGGCTTCGGAGATGCGCTCGAGGGAAAAGGATTTTGAAGAAACTTCTTGGAGTCTAGGCCCTTCAATATCGGTGGTGCTCCTGGGATTTGGTCGACCCTAAAATTGTAGGTTTCCACTTTTTTGTCATTGGCTTCGAATTTCTTCTCTCTCGATTCAGTCTGTTTTGTCAGTTCCTCGAGTATCTTTATGATCTCGGAGTTGGTCCCCAATTCATTTTCATTCGGCCTCTGCGTGATCGATTCGTTTCTGCGGGTGACTTCTCGGGATGGCTCAGGCTCAATTCTTCTTGACGCGCGACTTTGGTTATTCAAATGGGTTATCACTACCTGTTGAGCCTGTAATATTTCGAAGATCACCCGCAAATTGATCCTGTCACCTCCACCATTGTGCGAATTCTAGGTGATCAATTGGACTTCCCTGCGAATGTTGTTCTCTGGATTGGTAGGCAAATTTGCATTGATGGCCACATGCGAGCTAGCATCGATCGGGTCCGAGATTGAAACTCCGCCGAGATCGGCGGATGGCACCTTGTTACCGGGCACCAAGTTGTTGTTCTAGCCATGATGGCCGGATTCAACATCCACATTTCGAGGGGCTAACTGGGAGTTCGACATTTTGAACTTTGGCCTGAAAGCAGTGACACTTCAAAGAACAAGTGTAAAATAGGGCGAGTTATAGAAATTTGTATCAAATAGCCACTATTATCCTTAGGCCCATGGTGGACACCAAACTGTTTACCCTCAAAATCGGATGACATTAAATTTGTAAGTAGTTTTAAGGATACGCGGATTAATTCGATACAAAGCGGTAAATTAAGTCAATATTGAATAAACAAAAACAGAATAAATTCAAACCACACGAGTAGGATAGCTTTAGCCTTAGTAAATAGTCACCCTCGATCCGGGCTTACCACGGACAGCACTAATGAACAAGAGAAAGAGATTATAATAGAGAAAGTAGCAATATATTGCTTTGGAATGCGTGTTACAATGTCTTTCATGAATTATCAGACCCCCTTTATATAGTAGGGTAGTCGTACTTTAAGTATAACTCTATAAAAGGTACAAAATCTTTTGATTAACTGATTGCCAGTTCCTTATCGATACGTGCCGAGATCCCCACCGTGATATCCGACCAATCACAAATATTTCGGCCTTCTGTTTGCTATTCTTGATTGTCCGACAATGTTCTTCGAAGTCGTTCGAGGCTAGGACCAATTCCGGAACCATGACCTCGATATTCTCGAGGGCAAACGTCATGCCCCTGGATTCTGGCTCGATGGGACTTTTGGCTCAATTTCGGTCCTTCGCCACCATGTCTCGAGCCTGGCTTATCTTATCGGAGGTCAGGGTGTAGTATGAGCTCGGTTTTACCCGTATAAAAGATTCAAGATTTAAGTTTGATGGTTTCAACCTTAAAATTAGCACTTAACTTATTGTACTTTTAAAATTATTGGTTTAGAACTTAATATTTATTAAAAATTATTGATAGTAATGGTGCCTTTGAGTATTCTCTATATTTTTCAAAATAATACATTAATACATCTTTTATATATATATTCAATATATTTAATATAATATATATAAATATACATATTATATACTTAGGTAATGTATATATTTTGTATATATTAGCTACTGCCTGTAATTAATTTCGGTCGTCGGGCTAAATTTTTTTAAAAAAAACCCTTTAAAAAGTATCTTGCATAAGTAAGAAATTATGCAAGATATGCATGCATATATACTCTTTTTTACTCTATTATACAACCAGAGTTGAACCAAATAAAAAGTCTAAATTAAAACTTAATTTTGTTCTTAATTATTGACACCCTATGGGGCATAGAGTTTGGTTAAAATTTAAAATCCGTTTAACTTACAACTCTTTTGGTTATATTGGTCACCATGACAGCCGATAGCCATTTATTTTACAACTCAAATAAATGGTTTTAAAATAGTTATGCAAGTAAAAGATGCAAACTATATTTAGCAAACTCAACCCAAAAAGCTAACTCGACATATAAGAATTGCCAAAGAGCTAACTCGACATATAAGAATTGCCAAAGATCATATGAGATATCCAATTTCCCTTCCCACAGCAGTGGGACTCAACGGTGGAAAGGAGAGTTAGACACATAGGCACGTGTCGGGGTGGCAATGAATCATTTTTTTTCTCTTTTAGGTCCAAGTACGACACAAATTTAGAGGGACTTTTATCACTAAAAATAGGGCACCCCGATGCACGAAACATCCCGTGTTCATGCGGGGTCCGAGAAAGGACCGCACGCTAAGAGAGTATGATGCATGCAACTTACCCTGATGTAAGCATCAATGACTGATTCCACGGCTCGAGAGGCTTTTACCACTATACGACAAAAAAGATAGATTCCTACCGGCAATACTGATCAGAGCATTTCAAAAGAAGTTCTGCTATATGATGATATATGAAAGAAATAATGTACAATGGAGGCATCTTAGGCCAGTTATCAGAAATATGGAGTATCAGTTTACCATTACAGGGAATAAATAGCTTAACATCATCAAATTATATGTAAACTCATTTCACAGAAATGAGTGTTCCAGTGAAAGATAAGTAAGCTATTGAAAACATGTGGAACTAATACTTTGCCTTGGTGAAATAATTTGACACCAAATGTATTATTTTTATAACCTTGGCGCGGGAAGAGCAGCTCGTGGAGCATCCCAATCGGCCACAATGTGGTTACGAGTGATCTCTTTCAGTGAACGGCAGCCACTTAGTGCCATAGTTAGCTCAAACTCATCGCGCATCATCTGCAATACTTTTCTGATACCAGCTTCTCCTTCAGCAGCTAATGAGAAAACGACTGGTCGCCCAATCTGCAGAGGCAACAACAAATGTCATTTTCTCTAAAACATGTGAAGTATAAGAAGAAATTGCACAACACTATGTCATTGGCTTTAAATGTAATGTAAACAGAAGTATGTATGATAGTAATGGAACATTTCTCGTATGTGAACTAGTGTCATGTCTCCCCTTCTCCAAAACAATGGCCTAATATATATGGCCCTCTTGCAAGATTGTCACAAGTGGAAGTGTACATCTACTGAAAATGCTTAACTAAAGCGTCACAACCCAAGCCCATGACACGTATTGTCTGCTTTGGCCCAACAGAACTTACGGATTTTTCTCTTGGGCTATGCCATCATCAAACTTATGTTGTACCTTATAAAGCTCTTTACTTTTCTATCTCATTCCGATGTGGGGCACCCTTTCTTCAGAATTTTGCCAGCATAGAAGCCAGTCAGTCCTGCTTGACCTGCCCTCGTCAGCTCGCCCTCCGTTATGGGCGTCACATAAAGTTCCAGTGGGCATGTCATTGTTGACGGTATGTCACAATCTTGCACCACTATGGTACAGTTTATTATCATCCCAAAGATAAAGGAGCTTCCCACTTTTTTTAGAATGGTCCTAATTATGGAAGTTTTAAGTTTAAAAGGACAACAATGTGTGGCAGTGATTGATGACCAATAAAAATTTGAAGTTTGTGCCACTCTAGGAGTTATATGTTGTACTTACAAACACTCCTGATGCACCAAGTGCCAAAGCTTTAAAGACATCTGTTCCACGCCGGACACCTCCATCCAGGAACACGGGGATTCGGCCTTGTGCAGCTTTCACAACCTAAATATTCACATGAACCCAATGCGTGTAAAGAAGAGATTAAAAGCTTTCAAAATTACACAAATTCCAGAGGACAAACAGAGAAACCAAAACAATAAACAGTAAGGTAGAAACAAGTTAAATACCTCTTCAAGAGCCATGATAGTGGCGGGGACATAGTCGAGTTGGCGAGCACCATGGTTCGACACAATAATACCAGCTGCTCCAGCCTGAACTGCAATCCTAGCTGCAGGTCCAAGGTAAAAAAAAAGTGTTTCACCAATAATGCACGGGTATTGAATCGAATAACAGATGAGAAATTATTAGTGTTATGATGTTACCATCCTCTGCAGTAAGTACACCCTTTACCAGGATTGGCAATGAAGTAATTGTTTGGAGCCACTGGACATCCTGTCCATATTCAGAGAGAATTTTTCATATCTGATACTGCAATTGAGTAATATGGTATATGTAGGTTTAGATGTTAAGGATGTTATTGTACCTTCCAACTCAACGAACGATCAATTTGTCCAGCGACATATGAAGCTAATCCAGAGTCATTAGCCTGCAACCAGAAATTTGTTAAGATGACACATGAAAAGCTTAGAAAATTGTTTACAACTACGGATTAAAATGAACTCCATTTTCCACTCACTTCGTCCATCTTGCCGAGGTCCAATCCTTCAAAGTTTTTCAAAGTCAAAAATGGTGGCAAAGTAAATCTGCACATGGGTGGACAGAAAATTAGCTTATGCAGCTTAGCTCCTTAGCTGACAAGATGGGCAGCCCGATGCACTAAGTTGCCGCTATGCGCGGGGTCCGGGGAAGGGCCGGACCACAAGGGTCTATCATACGCAGCCTTACCCTGCATTTCTGTAAGAGGCTGTTTCCACGGCTCGAACCCGTGACCTCCTGGTCACATGGCAGCAACTTTACCAGTTTTGCCAAGGCTCCCCTTAGCTGACAAGATGGGCAGCCCGATGCACTAAGTTGCCGCTATGCGCGGGGTCCGGGGAAGGGCCGGACCACAAGGGTCTATCATACGCAGCCTTACCCTGCATTTCTGTAAGAGGCTGTTTCCACGGCTCGAACCCGTGACCTCCTGGTCACATGGCAGCAACTTTACCAGTTTTGCCAAGGCTCCCCTTAGCTGACAAGATAGGTGCTACAATTACACAATTGGATTATGCACCTGTTCTTAATATCAGCTTCTCGACGTCCCAACCTTGGGGTATCAACAGTAAGAGCTATAGCCTTAAAACCTGCCCTTTCAGCTCTTCTCACTAGCTGAGCAACAACATTTCTGTCCTTATAGACCTGAATATTTGGCACATTATATATACGTTTAGCGTAGTAATGCATCTATAATTCTGATATTCGTATAACTGCAAATTCATGCTTACGTAGAGCTGGAAAAAACGGATACCAGGTCCTGTTGAAGCAACCTCCTCGACGCTAGAAGTTGCCCAAGATGACAATGTCTGTGACACAAATTTGTGATCATCAACAAAGTGAAATAAATATGATAAGTCACAATAACTTTCTTTTCTTTTCGTCTTCCTCCTCTGGTATGGTAATCACAGAAGTTCTTTGATAGAAGTAAATACTAGTATAATGAATGCAAACTAAAAGTTGACTCATGCATCTTAAAAGCAGTAGTAGAAGGAACGACGTTGGCTGTGATGACGTAACAAATTAGAAAAACTCAAACTGCATTTTCAACTTGTTATTATTTAAAGTCCTACTTGATAAACCAAGACAGACTAACCATAATTGTTCCTGCGGCTGATGCTGCTCTTGCTGTAGCATACTCGCCTACATATAATCAACCAAAAGTATCAGATATAAAACCTTTAGTAGTTCTTTTTTCTAGATTTAGAATCACATAAGAATTAAAGCCTTAAAAAAAGATTTTGGACATTATACATAAAAATGGTATATACATCATTCTAAATGCAATACAGATCAAATGTCTCGATCCTATATGCATCAAGTCTTACATGAAATAGTCCACTAGTTTAGTCATTAAACATTCTGTTCATTGTGCTCAAATACATTACTTATGATGAAACAATTCCATATTTTCACTAAAAGAACTAATATCGCAACCTTAATCAAGGATTAAAAACTAATCCGTAGGTATCATCGTATACCTTCAGGATGGGCCATTTTCTGCATGGCTGTTGGTGCAATCATGATAGGCATCGAAATCTTGAAGCCGAGCACTGTTGTGCTTAAGTCAATCTTGCTAACATCAATAAGAATACGGGGCCTAAACCTGCATATACAGAGAAAGAATAGCTCATGAATAAACAGATATGTCGATAAAGGACTACAGCCAGGAACTCATCCTAAATGATCTCTAGGGGTTAATTTCACTGAACGTCATCTATTATATAAGTAAAGTCAGAAAACTATTTTCTGTCACACTAAAGTAACTGAACTTTACCCATCATATCAATAATGTTACTAACTTTACTGTTATAGCGGATAAAGTTCTGTAATTACTGATCTTTTGTCTTGCCAATTTAGGTCACAGATGGCTAAAAATAGCTTACAGAATTCTTGAAAAGGCATTTCTGTTCTCAGCTAGCGTCCATTGGTCCTCTGCTCCAGATGCATAGTAGTCAAACACCATTTTTGGTAACTTTTGCTTGGCGATTTCTTCGTATTCCATGACATTGGTAACCTCCCCCATCTTGTACTTGTTTTATGCTCCCCTTCCAATAATCTTGAGGTAATACAGAACATGACATTAATCAGATCCCAGATATGAATTATGTCAAAAAATATAAAGAAGTAACGACACGAAAAAGCTAACTAGGATTCAATATCTACTATATATACATGAACATAACTTTGACCGTGTATATACAGTGTAATTTTGCTGCAAAGGGATTCGGATAAACCCCCTTGCGCCCCTTAGCTCCGCCCATTATGGGGGTTACAATAGTTGTAACATCTCACATACTTGGAAAAAACATGAAACAGTGAGAAAGAAATAATCTTGCAGGAAAAAATAAAAAGCACTTGAATAAGAGAAAAGAAGAATAAAGATAAATGATATCTAGTAGGAAATTGGGTTTGTGGGGTACTTTCTATCTATCTTGAACAAAAAGATCAAGTTATTGAACCAGAGGTGTATGCATGGAGCCTACTTTACTAGTTCAACTAATCAGACGCAGAGCATAAATTAAATATAATACATGTGAAAAGCTACTAAATTTCACCAAATATTAAATTCAATCATATGAACTTTAAGAGATTGAACTCGTCAAGTTTAAATTTTAAACATCTGTATTTAATTTCTTATTCTTACATTGAAACAACAAGTTTCAAACATGCATAGAGTTTTGGAGCAACGATAAAGTTGTTTCCGCGTAACCTATAGGTTAAGCCACTGATGCTTGCATCAGGGTAGGGTAGGCTGCCTACATCACACCCTTTGAGGTACGACTCTTTCACGGATCCTGCGTAAACGCGGGATGCTTCGTGCACTTGGCTAACCTACGTTGAACCAACAAATTTCAAATATGCATGTCCCACCAAGAGGAGTCTTGGAGCAACGGTAAAGTTATCTCCATGTGACCTATAAGTCACAAGTTCAAGCCGTGAAATCAACCACTGATCAAGGTAGGCTGCCTACATTACACCTCTTGAAACCTATAAGTCACGAGTTCGAGTCGTGAAATCATCCACTGATCAGGGTAGGCTGCCTACATCACATCTCTTGGGATGCATACCTACCCGAGACCATGCGTAAACAAGAGATGCTTTGTGCATCGGCCTGCCCTACACTGAACCAGCAAGTTTCAAACATGCATGCAGTAAATATAACTCATGAGCTACAAGCTAGTAACATAGCAAACCCAAGATTCTTGAGAAGAGAGAAGAAAGAAATAGTTTGAAAGGTAGTAGAAGCAGACCTTGGACTCCAAAACAATGGAGAAGAGTGAACTAGCTGAGGGGATAGTTGATAAAAGATAGAGAAAAAACCAAGAATAAACTGACAAAGTTGATGGGAAGAAACCAATTAAATAAGAATTAGGAAGAAGACAAAGAGAGTGGGCGATAGAAGAAGATAGAGTTCACAAATTGAGGATGAGTATTTGGATGGGAGCATTCAAAACCACAATTTAAACCACATCCGTTTAGAAAATAGATGAGTGGCTCTCTATTAGCCTTTTTTTGTGCTTTCAATAATTTATCATCTCTTCAATAATTTTCCAAAATGTTAATCTTTAATATAATTAAGACATCTTTGAACTTATATATTTGTAGTTTATTGGGATATAAACTCTTTTGGCTTTTTGTCATATAATTCTATGCCACGTTCTTTGACTAAAGGAGGATAAACAAGAATAGTACTTTCCGTGTTCATGCAGGATCCGAGAAATGGTTGCAATCTAAGATGGTGTAATATAGGCAACCCACCCTAATATAAATATTAGTGGCCGACTCAACGGTTCGAACCCGTAACCTATAATTTACACGAAAATAATTTTATCGTTACTCCAAAACTCCCTTTAGTAGAGTATTTCAGTGTTAAGAAAAAAGGTAGTATGAGGATTAATAGCATGTTTGGCCAAACTTCTAAAATCAGCTTATTTTGAAAAGCGTTTTTTCTCAAAAGTATTTTTGGTAAGAAACAGTTTGTGTTTGACTAATTAATTTGAAAAGCACTTCTGAGCAGTAATTTATGTTTGGCCAAACTTTTAAAAAGTGTTTCTAAGTGTATTTTTCTCAAAAATACTTTCAAAAAAATGCTTCTAGGTAGAAGCTATTTTTTTTTTGCTTCTCCAAAACTATTTGTGCTTCTACCCAAAAGCACTTTTTTTTGTTCTAAAAGATTGGCCAAACACTTCAACTTTGAAAAAAAATATATTTTTGGACTCGGAGAAACTTGACCAAACAGGCTATAAGAGTCGTATTCTAGTGAAAGAAGACCGCTGAAAGGTAAACATGTGATTTAATCGTCAATGAAGTGAAATGAAAATCATAAAAAATCAAAGTTTAAATTTAGTGGATGCAAAACACTTTAGCTAATTCTTTTCATTTGTCTAAGCTTTCATTGCGAGCTTGATGAGTTCGATCTTTACAAATTTTAACATTGAATTCACCTTATTTTTGATATTATAAAATTTTTAGATTTAATATTTTTTAAAATTATATGATTTCTCAAATATGTATTTATATTCTATATTGAAAATACTGAATTCGATTGGATCTGTAACCAAAAGCTACATCAGCCACTCTTAAATTGAGCTCACAGTATGCAAGTTGGTTAGGCAGTTGAAAAAAACATGTCATGCCTCTTCTATAGGAGAGACATCAAACACGTGTTGATTTAAAGATTTAACGTCATCGGTTGTGGTGGAGTGGTAAGTACTCCTTCATCCTTAACCAGTGGTCTCGAGTTTGAGTCCTGAGTATGAAATCGCTTTTGTTAGGGAACGCTTTACCTCCCAATGTGGGACTTCCCAGGCGCAAATCCGGATTAGTCGGGCCCCAATGGGGTACCAGATACCGGGTGAGAAATCAAAAAAAAATTAAAGTCAATGTACAACACATATCTCATCTAAATTGGCACGCTTACCAATACATTTTATGGCTTTGAATATATATTGTTTCAAACAACGTAGAGATGAATTTTTGGTTTAAAAGAAAATATTTTTTGGTATACTATCTTGTGGTGCACTGAACAAAAATATAGAATAAACTCGTCCAGGTTTTAATAAATAAAAAATTTGGAACTAGTGGTGAATCTTTTTGGTATTTAAAAAAATATTTCTAATTGAGATGCCTCGTCAGTCGTCATATATAGTTGTTAATAACCATAAAAAAATGAAAAGTGCAAAACTGAAATATAATATGTTGTTAATAAATAATAAAATGTTCATTGATTATCATAAAAATAAATATTTAATAAATAGCGACTGACATAGATTAAATTAAAAATATATTAAATAACATAATGGGATGAGAAAATTACCGATTTGAATCTTATCAATGATTTCATTTTTATTTGAATTATACATTAATATGTATAATGTATAATATTTGCTTATAATTTATATTTATTTAAAAATTAAAGGTATAAAATAAATTTATGTTAAATGGTTATACAAGAAAGAAATATGCATTTATATGGGATAAATATATAGAAAAGAAAAATAAGGAATTTGTTTTATAAAGAAAATAATATAATATAGAAGAGAGAAGGATATAAAAGAAATATTTTTTTTTGGTGTAAAAAATAGTGCAAGGGTTGTAGATGTCTTGGGACAATAACTTGGCCAATTATAGGAGCAATGATGTCAACCAATTTTAAAGTATTAGCATATAACTTATTTGGAATAATGAAGTTTGTTTCACCTTTCATATATAATTTGTTTAGGAAAAATTACTTATTTGTATTCCGTGTTAATATTAAATTGATGAATTTATTTAACACGCGTTTTCTATGTACATTTACCACTGAATTATAGGTAATCTGAAGCTAATAACTAGACCCAAAATATCAATATATTTTTGAAAAAACAACATATGCTCAATTGGAAGTAGAGGTGTTCATAAAAACTCAAAAAATCGAACCAATTCGACCAAAAAAATTAATACTTTTTGGTTTGGTTTTGGTTTTGAATTTTAAAAACCGATCAAATTTGGTTTGGTTTTGGTTTTAATCAGAAAAAAACCGAACCAAACCGACTATAGGATTACCTATTTCAAATTTATTATTACACTTATATATAGGGAAAATGCATAAGTACCCCCGACATATACCCGGATTCTCAACTACAAACTTTTTCTTTGCGGGATTCCTATTACCTCCCTAAACTTATTTTAAATGGAATTATTTGCACCCTTAACGCTGACGTGGCAGAGTGTGTGTATTTCACTCTTCTAAAGGAGAGTGAGAAGCAAGAAAAAATGATTTTCAGATTATTTTTTATTCTTTTTACCATTTTTTCTTACTTTTTTTTCCTTTTCCTTTTTCTTTGTCTTTTTCCTTTTACTTTTTTTTTTCGTTTCTTCTCTAGTTCCGGCGGATATTCATTTACCAGCGACTTTGTCTAACCGTTTTTCTTCCATTTTTTCTTTACACACACAAATTAAACTCTAAAAAAAGTTCTATTCATAAGCAAAACAAAATACACTCAGATTTGGGAGGGGGGAATTCATCATCGGAAAACCTTTCTACACCGGAAAAAAATAACGTATTGAAATTTAACTGAAAAAAGTTTTCTCAACTTGTATTAGTTTTTATTTCTTTTGCTCTTCCTCCCACTCATAAATTATACTTTCAAGAAAAATTTATATATATATATATATATATATATAACAAAACACACTTAGATCGAGATAAAAATCTGTCGCCGGAAAAAAGATTCGCCGAAAAAAATGGTGTATGTGAAATTCTGACGACCACCATTTTATGCCGCTGGTGACCAAAACAAAAAGAAAGAGGATGAAATAACCAAAAAATGAGAATAATAAGAAATAAAAAAAAGGATAAGAAAAAGAAAGAAAGAATTAAAAAAGTACTAAAAATACATGTGGGGGCGCGTGTAGCTCACCACTTGCCAAGAGTTTGGTTGTCAACGTTAAGAGTGCAAATAATTCCATTTAAAATAAGTTTAGGGGGTAATAGGATTCCCGCAAAGAAAAAGTGTGTAGTTGGGAATCCGGGTATAGGTCAGGGGAGGTACTTATGCATTTTTCCCTTATATATACGTATATTTTTATACAAAGTTTTAAAAAAATTATGGTAACTATTAATAGTTTGCACTTTTAGTATAGTTCTTTACCTTTACATTCTAGTTTGATTGGTAGTTTTCTTTTGTTAAGTGTAAGAATCATTTTCGTATTAAAAATAATATATTTTTAATTGAGTCCTTAAATTGTTCATCACTATTTGATTAAATTATCATCAATATATCTTGGTAAATAATCGATTTCTCAAAGGGCAATTGATTTGATAGTGTTACGTTGAAAATATAATCGGCGGAATATGTGTTTGGTAGTGTATATCTTATATTTAAGAAAAAACTGACAAATAACCGAAAAAACCGAAAACCCGACAAAACCCGACATAAACCGAATCAAGAAAAAACCGATTTAATTGGTTTGATTTGGTTCTAATATTTGAAAAACCGACTTACTTAGTTTGGTTTCTTTTTAGGGAAAAACCGATCCAAACCGAACCATNCTATACCCGGATTCCCAACTACAAACTTTTTCTTTGCGGGAATCCTATTACCTCCCTAAACTTATTTTAAATGGAATTATTTGCACCCTTAATGCTGACGTGGCAGAGTGTGTGTATTTCACTCTCCCAAAGGAGAGCGAGAAGNGGATTCCCAACTACAAACTTTTTCTTTGCGGGAATCCTATTACCTCCCTAAACTTATTTTAAATGGAATTATTTGCACCCTTAATGCTGACGTGGCAGAGTGTGTGTATTTCACTCTTCCAAAGGAGAGTGAGAAGCAAGAAAAAATGATTTTCAGATTATTTTTTATTCTTTTTACCATTTTTTCTTACTTTTTTTTCCTTTTCCTTTTTCTTTGTCTTTTTTCTTTTACTTTTTTTTTTCGTTTCTTCTCTAGTTCCGGCGGATATTCATTCACCGGCGACTTTGTCGAACCGTTTTTCATCCATTTTTTCTTTACACACACAAATTAAACTCTCAAAAAGATCTATACATAAGCAAAGCAAAATACACTCAGATTTGGGGGGGGGGGAATTCATCATCGGAAAACCTTCCCACACCGGAAAAAAAATAACGTATTGAAATTTTAACTGAAAAACGTTTTCTCAACTTATATTCGTTTTTATTTCTTTTGCTCTTCCTCCCACTCATAAATTACATTTTCAAGAAAAATTTATATATATATAAAATAAAACACACTTAGATCGAGATAAAAATCTGTCGCCGGAAAAAAAAATTCGCCGAAAAAAATGGTGTTTGTGAAATTCTGACGACCACCATTTTATGCCTCTGGTGACCAAAAGAAAGAGGATGAAATAACCAAAAAAAATGAGAATAATAAGAAAT